AGGAAAACAAGAGTCCTAAATGTTTCCTTCATAACAAAGGGATGTCTCCTTTGCCTCCTAGGAAGCTCCATGGGAATTGCCACAATTCATAAACTTAAGAGTAAAACCAAAAAGTGTGTTTATAAGGAGATTTTGCTTTTTCTCTGTATTGGGTCTTTTTTTCCGCCCTTTCAACTAATTTGGGATAAAGATGATGCAACATAATGTATCTTATAAAGTGTCTGAAGGTTGCATTCACATTTGCTTTATCATCGCTGCTGTAAGCATTTGAGCAGCTGAAGGTTGCTGTGAAATGTTTATGCGAGGCACACCTCAACTCCAAAGGTGCAGGGAAACTGGAACTGAAATGCATGTTTATGAGGCTGCACGAGAGCAGGGCTTGCACAGCCAGCTAGGCAGGACACAGCCAGCCTCCAGTGACTCCTCAGGCACATACCAACTGCTGAACAGCTGCTAGCCAGCCACGCAGCAAAAAAAGATTATTTTCATGGCAAAAAAACTGGTAAGAAAGTAACCTGCCCGGAGACGCTTGTGAGCTGAAAACTACGTTCAAATCATGACCTACGTTTGCATCTCCAATGATAATGGGCTGGATTTAGCTTCTCTGCTGATGTTGAAGGCTGGGTCTGCACACACAGTACTGACCTGGCAGCCAGGGGACGTGGGCTGTGCCTGGCTGGCGGAGGGACTGAGGAGCCAGAAATAAATGAGCAGTTGATCTCATTCACTCATCTCCATCTTTGAACAATTTTGAGCGAATAACTGAAAAAGGTAAATTATTCATATGGAGCTATTCTAAGCTCAGTCATGCAGGCACCTACTTTAACTAGAATGGGAATTGTGCCTGTGCTGCTGAGGGCAGAATTTGACTTTTACTTTAATTGATGCAATTGTAAGACATAATTCAAGGCAAATCGCCTATAGAAAGCCCCCAGAGTGAAAGCAGCATTCAAAGTCACAGTGTATAAACAGCTGGGGGTGCAAGCGCAGCAATAACTCTCTGATACTGAAGCACAGAAGCAAAAATCCAGCGCCATAAATAACTCTGATCTTACCTCCTACTAATAAGTAGCTATTTGGGAACAGAGTTTTGGCTTGCATAAGAGCTCTAGCATGGCCAGAGTGGAAGAGGTCAAATATCCCATCTGCATACACTCTGACAGGTCTGTCAACTGTGGAGAAAGAAAAACACAATAGTGATTTTTCAGACCCAAAACAAGTTGCACTTAATTCTACTGGACAGGTTTTTGTTCTCAGATAGGATGATTGTGGAGATTTACCCCAGTTCTGATGTTCAAAATGCACCATGGGTGAAATCGCAGTGTTTTATCCTGCTCATTACTTGTTCTTCTCTGTACTCTCTGCTGTTTTCTCTCAGACTTAGCCTATTTATTATCATCCATCATCCCTGTATTCTAATTTAGCAAAAATGTCATCTTCCTGCCTCATTCGGAGTTCCACCATATGTCTTGTTCTTTTCTCTCTGACTTTCTAGTCAGTTCTGCCTTCTGGATTTTTTCAAATTTTTCCTTATTTTTTCTTATCATCTCCTTTTCCTCCCCTCTTTTCTGTGACTTTCTTTTTTCCACAGCTTACTGCTGTAAAAATGTATTGCTTACCTGTTTCACATAAACCCTTCACTTCCCTTTTTTCATACTTCCCCCAAGCTCTTTTCTTCTCTCTAACGAGCCTATCATTTCTTTTTCTCACCATCCTCCTGCTATCACCCTTATAACTCTTGCTTTCTGTACATCTTCAGCAGCAGCCTCCAGATAGAAAAACAACTTGCTTTACCAAATGACATGCCTGACAGCTGGGCCACCTCCAAGCAAAAGGACAGCGGAGATGAGAGCAACAGAGCTCCAGCCTCCGTGGACTGTGCTTCAGTGCTACAGAGAGATGTCTCTGCTGTCAGGACATCCAAGGCTCCAAGGGAGAACACTGCTCCTTGCAGAGCTGACTGGAAAGCTGCGGCTTACCCCTGTAAAGTGTATGTACTTTAAAAGCTTATTTTAAATATGTGAAATAAGTATATGAAGGCTTTTTTTTTAAAGAATCTTTTGGAATTTAGGGAGGCTGAAGTATGTATTTGGGACTTTATGTGAAATCATCCTGTTTCCCCAGCCCAATCACAAAGGTAGGTCTGGAAAAAATGTCCAGATAAAGAGTTCCAAAACTGGGCATGGTTTCTTTTCAAAGGCCAAATGGCCTTTAAGGTCACTTAAGGTCTGACGTGATCAACAAAAATGTCAGTGAAAGAAAAGGTTTTCCAGCATACAGAGGCAGTGCAGGAAGAGAATCCAGGAGGTAGCCACTACACAACACAGTTTTCAGGCTGGCTGGAGCGGGCTGGCAAGCCTTCCTTCCAACTGACATGCAGACATCCATGAAAACATCAAACTCTAACTTGAAATGTTTTCTCCTGTTGTTTTTCTAGCAGAAGCTAATGGTCCTCTAGTTACTGGTTTCTTCCCTGTTACCTGAGAGCACCAGACACCAGGCTGGCCCTTCTGCTTCCAAGTGGAAGACACAAGTGAGCATTGACAGACATTTGCAAGGGAGAGCCGTGCTTTGGCCCCATGGTCCCAGCACCCGTGGTCCTGCTGATGTTGCTCTCTACACATACCTGGTGTTCCCAGGCGGGCTTGTGCAATGGTTAGCTTCTCGTGTGGGGCTTGGCACTGACAGCTTGTTTCATCTGCAAATGGAGCAGGTGCCGTCAGAGTCTGGAAGGGGAAAAAACACAAAGAAAGTAAATTGTTTTTTTTCCATCACGTAGTTAAAAAAGAACCATTTAACTGTGCCAGGATGCTGTAACCAGGCTTAATGCTGTTTCTTCCCCGGAGATTTTTGCTGTTTGGTCACCCCTGAGCATACACAATTCACACAAGTTAAAATGATGAGGAAAATAAAGCTTTCCAAACACATCATGCAACTTGATTCTTTGTCTGTTGAGAAGCTCAAGCACTTTTGAGGTAGGTGCAGGTACATAATTTTTCTTTTGCAGGGCAAAGTCAGGTTTGATGGCCCAAGCAGCTTAATCCTTGGTTTGGTCTCAATGAGTCCAAAGGCCCAAGATGCAAAATGTGTTCTGCTATGTGTAAATACAGCTGGAAAAACTAATTGGGATTTAGAAAGCTGCAAATGGGCCACCTCCTCCCAAGCACCAGCTCCTCCCACTGACAAGACATCAGTAGAGATGATTGAGACTACAGGTTGTTTTGTTGTGTCTTTAACCAGAACCTTGTATAATTTTGAGGAGCCATTCAAAATAAAGCCAAGATTGCAACCAGAAGGCTCACCTAACCAGAGCTAACTGAGCTGCAACTCCTTTCTCTGGTCTGACACATACTGTAATAGTACTAAAATGCTCTAACTGTGATCAGAGCATCAAGACTACTTGCTCTGAAGAGCTTATAACCTAAAGATATAAGAAAGAGACTGAGGATGTGTGAAGAATGACGTGGCATTATCTGTCAGGAAACTTGATTACAGAAATCACATTTTCTGCCCATGCCTATGTAGGAAGTTATCAGCAATCAGAACCTCAGATATTTATTATCTGCCATATGGTCTGATATGAAAAAACATGCTTCTACTGCTCTTGGCTTGAAATCTTTATGAAATCATAGAAACAGCAAATTACCATGAGCTGAGTTTTGGTTTGCTTTGTTTTTGTGAGATGAGGTGGTAGTTCAGATAAGCCGAAGGAAATCTATCCCTTACTTTGCCTCCACCATGATTTAGCTGGGACCTCGTGGCCTTGCAGCAGTGGCTTGGTCGGGCTTTGACAGTGACCACTTGCGTGAGGTACAGTTGTCATACCAGTTTGAGCACCCATGGTTGATCGTAACAGAATCTCTCTTCCCCTTTACACTCTTCTTCAGCTTTTAGATGCTGAATGCTTAATCACTGAGCATTTATTTTCTTTAGCAGCCCTGAGACACTTTAAAACACGTCATGCCTAATTGCTGCTGACCTCTGAGCTCGCTGCCTTGTTGCATGGAAAGCTCAGAGGACAGTAGTAAAACAGCAACAAAGACTGCAAGACTCAAATCCAGCTCTTTCTGCTGATTTACTAGCCATTTTGTTTACCAAAAGCACTAAAATTTTTATGTAGATTTCTTGGTTTTCTCCTTCCATTTTTCCTTCCTTTTTTTCATAATCTCAAGTATTGCAGGAAATCATCATCATTAGTATCTTAGCGAGGAAAATCACAGCATCTCTGCAGAGACAAGGTTAGAAATGGAGAAACTATGACCACGTCCAAGTTTCTGTCTGGGTTTCATGGACGGGAGCTGTTCATCGGGCCACCCATGCCGCACAGCGTAGAACATTACACATAATCATACCGTGCCAGCTCCTTCCTTTATTTTCTAAATACTGTCTTTTTGCTTCTGGCTTTGCGATCGCTGTGTGCTAACCTGTCTTTTTATCTCGAAGCAAGGTCAAGTTACATGGCAGCCCATACAGCCTGGTTCCCGCTGGGATAAAGAGGAAGGCAGAAATGTTAAAACAATAATGGCTATGGTCTGAGGCCTGCAACTGGTAATCAGATCCTAGCTTGGCAGAGGCTGTTTCCTTGGAGATTATTTGAAGAAAATAGGCCTGGTTTGCAGGAAGATATTTTTTTTCCCCAGGCAAACACAGTGGTGCTTTTTATCCATGTAAACGACTTTGCAACACCAAGATTTTTCTTTTGGTCTTCGCTCAATGGAGAACAACCTCTATTAGCTTGCCATCAGTCCAGCTTTTGTAAATGCTCATCATTAAAGCTTGCTTTATGGCCGAGGGCTTAGAACCAGACCTGTCAATATTCCCATTTCTCTGTGACCTCTCAGTCACTGGATATGAAAATACATTAAATACAATGGATTAAAATCAGCAATATTCTATCAAAGCCACATAGAGAAATGCATAAATACCATGTGCTAACAGATCAAGGGAAATACAGCAATAGCTTCCCAATGAGTATCCAATACTATTTCATTTTATCTGGACTAGAAAAAATGTCGCTGAGCTTAACAAAAACATGAGTAAAATAAGATAAGACCACTTGCTTTATATATTCTAGCATAAGATAAAATATTTCAAGAAATTATTAAAAAACAGAAATAAATTATCAAACCTCCTTCAGTCTGTATATAATTACTTGTTCTTTCCAGTTTCTTGTCAGTAATAACTAGAATTGGGAGAAGAGAGCAAGTAATTTATATAGCAGCTTTTTCATTTTGGTTAATCCATTAAAGTACTTTTAGAAATTCACTACAGTTTCGCCAATAATCAGATGGTTCGACAAAGACTTTGTGCAAATGTACTTCTGTCTTTCTCTGACAGATTTTTCCCTTCATCTGTGCCTTCATTATTTTCTAGGCATTTACATTTTGCGATTAATCAAGCAAGTCAAATCAGCCTTACATTTGGGAGCAAGGTAAGCTTCTGAGATCTGCATCACCCTGTAGCAGGGTGCTCTATAGCCTGAATGTGAGTTCAGGGATGAATTACTTCATTTTGTTTGTTCAGCACCTGCCTTCTCCTTGTATTATTTGATATTCTTGTCCTGGAAACTTCAGTAAATTAATCCACAGTCACCTATTCCCTGGCTCTCATGATTTCATAGTCCTCTCTCTTTTCTCCCCCCAGTCACGTTTTCCAGGCCGAAGAGCTTCACCTTGTTTATTTGTTCCTTGTATGGAAGCTGGTCCACAACTTTGATTATTTTTGTTGCCCTTCCCTGTTAACTGCAAGGTGGCTTATACAGTGTTTGAACTGATAACTCTTCCAATTTCTAGAGCTTTAGTAGATAGGAATAGAAAATTATTTGCATGCTGCTCACACTTGGCGGTTATCTTTGATGGCAAAAGCACCTTACAGCTGGTGTCAGCAGGGAGACCTTACTTTCATTTAAGCAGTCCAAACGCCACATTGTTACTGTATTATTAATATGTGGTGTCTAGAGAAAGCCTATTACATGTCATAAATGGAGGAGTCACTGTAATATTAGGACTCGTTAGTGATATTTACTTCAGAAGATGTTAAAAAACCCTTGCAATGCAAGTCCTATATCCTGGGAATGAAGATGCTGCGTTCAATTATAATTAAATTCACTTCCTAAAAATGAATGTATGCGAAAGCATTTTATCCAATAACCCTAGCATATCAAAAGCCACTCTATGACAAGTTTAAACAGTGTCTTACTTGCACTCTCACAAATTTGCAAAATAACTGAATGATGCTCAATAAACTTCAGGAAATTAAAAGATGGAAAGCAGGTAAAGGAGGGCTTCCTAGCAAATGCCGCACAGCTTCATTTGCACCCAGTATCATCTTTGTAATCCCCAACCATATTTAATGAGACAGTAGCCCAGAGAGCACAGTGTGGTAGGTAGCGTGTGGTAGTGTGGTTCTGTGGCTGGGATGTTTTATGAGGAAACCCTACATGACAGCTAGAAGCAGCTTATTTTCAGGTGTATCTTGATGGCGCCTTTTTATTATCACTCTTCATAGTCTCTTAAGCTACTGTAGCCATTTAACTTAGCTGCTAGTCAGCAGATAAACATTTATAGCTTATGTTTCCAATGGATTAAAAGGAAAGGGGTCAGTGATTTGTAGAGGAAAGGCAGTCATACCACTGAAATAACAGGTCAAAAGCATGAGCACCTCTACACCCTCTCTTTTGTTTACAGCCTGTAATAGGAAATAATTAGTTGTGTTATTGTTTGCTTGTTTTCTGTATGGTTGTTGGGGGGCTTTTTGTACATAGCAGCAAGGAAGATGGAAATATTTTTTTAAATGGGCAAATGCAGACCCACCTATGCCATGGTGCAGCTGCCATTATAACTCTGCCTGCAGGGTAATTGCATGCAACATGTGCTACTAGAAGCAGCTACTCTTTGCCTTTTTTTGCCCCTTTTTTTTTTTTTGATTCACACAGCTACACTACCTCCCTCACCACATGACATATAGACAAAAATGTTTTTCTCTTGGTAGAGAGAATAGTTGTATTGGCATCAATGATTCTGGCATCAACAAAGGTCTAAGAAAATTTCAGATCTTGAACCAGTACAGCTACACAGGTAAAACTTGGGAGAGGAGGCTGGGCCTGTGCTTATAAAACAATTAACCTGGTAGGCAAATTCTGTGGGAGGTCTGATGCTGTAATCTCCTTTTCTCTCAGAAGCAGTATTTAAAACAGATAACTGATTTCACTGGAACACATCACGTGGGTAAGATCTACTCCTATGAGGAAAGATTATTTTGGGAACCTGCTCCTGATGTTGGCAAACAATAATTACAGAGCAGGAAACACTGACATCAGTTTTAAGGGACATTTAAGGGAAAAACACTATCAAAACTCTTGAGAAGGAACTAAAAATACATGCTGAGTTTCTGAAGTGTGAATACCCTTTGCAAGTGGAAAGACCATCTTAAGGACTACCAAGGTCTCCTCTTAGAGGTCCAGGGAGTCAGCATTGTGAAAAATGAAAACCATGTTGTCTCATGTATTACCTTTGGTAACCTTGACCCAAACAGGTAAATTTATGAGTAATTAAGTTGTAATTGAATGTTACTGGTGGGTGCCTCCAGGTAAACTTTTCACAAACAGTTAACAATATTAATGCATGTATCAAAAGAAAATCTAGCCTGTTCTCCCACAGTTCTGCTGACTCAGGGAGGTGGATGTAAACTAAAAATAAGGAAAACTAACCCAATAAAAATAATAACTTAAAAAAAAAAAAAATCACACAAAACTGATTGCAGGCATTCCAACTTGCCTTATTCTCAGTTGCTTTTTCTGGGCTTTATCTTCAACCAAACATACTTTGCTTGTCATTAGTATTAAGTCAGCAACTATTAAGTGCAAGATGCAATTACAAATTGAAGATATAATAGAAGAAAAGCAGCTTCCACTGCCTTCTCAAGAAGCACAATGGTGTATATATGTACAGATTCATAGATTATGAAACTAGAACAACTATTCTATAATCTAGTTTAATATTTGCAAAAGGCCAAAGAATTTTGTGACAAAATTCCTGCATGACATCCATGACTTTTGACTGAACTGGAACACATTATTTAGAAAACAAAATCCATCCTAGAGGTAGGATGGGCCCCAAGTCAAGCAGAGCTCAAGCAAAAGAACTGCCGAGGAAGCACCTCAATCTCCATGAACAGCAGCAGGAAAAGCAATGTGACCCTCGGCAGCTTACCCACCTGAGCCCGCTCCCCTGGCACAGCTGGAAAGAGCACTGCCTACAGGTGACCCAGGCAGGACTCATGGAAAGAACAAACAGCAGCTAAGGCAGCGTGCAGCCTGTGAGCCTACGCGTCCTCCTGTCCCGATGGCTAGAGACTTAGCCAAGCTGTCAGATGTCCTGGCACTGAGGAGGGATATGCAGTATTTCAGGATAAAGAAGTATGCAGCTCCTTCAACAGGGCACTGGTTACCAGGCAGCAGCCTGCAGACGCCATCACAAAATGAAGACGTTGCAACGGGACTGCAGAACCAAACTGGTCATAGTGCATTTGCAATTAAAAGCTGAACGGCAGGTGCTTGCTGGCCCATGAGTAATGCTGAGAGATGGCCATGGTCAATAGACCAAAAATGCGTAACCACTGCTCTAGTACCACTCTGGTTTGTTGATCAAGCCAGAAACTGGAGATAATGTCAGTTCATAATTTTTTTCTAATACCCATTTCGTTTTACTTGTACATTAGTGTACACAGCTGATGTGTGGCTAAAAGGACCTAACTTTGGCTTTAACATAGGTAAGGGTTAATCTACTGAAATAGCTAAGATATTGGGTGAATTTGGCCCAGTATTCACTCTCTACTTGTGTT